ATGTATATGTATACACACACATACACACACACACATATATATGTATATATACATATAGATGTGTCTATCTATATCTATCTATATATACACACACACACACATCTTTATATATGTGTATGCATGTACAGTACTTATATATATATATATATATATATATATATATATATATATATATATATATATATATACATACATGCATGTCTCTATCTTTATATATATATGCATGTATGTATATGTATACATATATATGTACATACATACATACATTCATACAAAGATATAGATACATGTATATATATACATATACACACACACACATATATATATCATATTTATACATATATGTACACACACACACATACATATATGTATATATATAAACATATATATATATATATATATATATATATATATATATATATGTGTGTGTGTGTGTGTGTGTGCGTGTGTGTGTGTGTGTGTGTGTGTATGTATACATATACATATATATGTACACATACACACACACACAGACACACACACACACACACACACACATATATATATCATATTTATTCATTAATCTATTCATCTATATACATAGATTTATATGTGTATATATATGTATAAGTTATATGTACACACACATATATCTATATATACATAAATATACATATGCATTTACATACATACATTCATATATATATATATATATATATATATATATATGAATGCATGCATATATACAAATATCTATACTCAAATATCTGAATATGTATGTATATATACAAATATATATATGTATATATACATATATGCATATGTATACACACACACGCATGTATATACATATGCGTGTATACATATACTGACATGTGTAATATATATATATATATATATATATATATATATATATATATATATATATATATATATATATATATGTATAGGTGTACACATGCGAGTGTGTATATGAAATATATTCATATATATATATTTGGGAGAGTATGTAGTTTTATGCAAATGTTTGTAGCACCTCCATGGTCGAGGGAACTCCACAGCACTACTAAACTCTTATAAAGAGAACTATATTTCTTGGAATAATTTATTCTACAATTTACACTTTAGGAATAAAACAAGTGAAAATTAACCATATTTATTTAGTAAACACTGATGACCTAGCGTTGGACAAGCACTCGCCGGAAGTGAGAGACTGGACAAGGGAGAAAACATTGCCTGCTGGGATAAAGGCAAAGGAAATCGCTGGTTGAGGGTGTCGGGTTTAATTTCTGTGTCTTTTCTTTATTTAGTAAAACGGAATAGCTGTTTAGCTTCGTTGGAAGCTTGTCTCATGCTTGTTGATCTCTGAACGAACGTCAGATGAGGAATCTGATAGAAAGAGATAGATAGATGGATAGATAGAATCGGATGTATAAGACGGATAGGCAGATGGATAAAAAAAGAAAAGAAAAACCTGATCGGCAGAATGATAGAGTACGGCTGTACAGATACATAGATGGAAAAAGGAAGGTAGGTAGACAGATAAAGATAAAGATACGGATATACATACAAACAGACAGAGGCTGATAAGCAGATAGATAGATAGAAACGAATAGGCAGATGGATAGACACAGACGTACAGATAGATGTTTTGAAAAACAGGCGTATGTGGGAACAACGAAAACAACATACGCCACATAATGAGAATAAATTGGATGATTCCTCATGATTAATCCTTTCACGTATGGATGTCCACATTATTAGAATATACACATTACATTCATACCGTACATTAGTTATAGCAGGTTTACTGGAAATGTATTTTGACGATGCATTCCTTTACAGTCTTAGTGAAGGTTTTGGGTAATTTGGAAGAATTGGTGACAATGCTTGCGAGCTAGACATTAAGACAATGGTGATTATTGTCGTTCAGAGGGATATAGATACTAAGGCAATATGTAGTATAGAGGATGATATACTTTAGAATCAACGAGCAAGGAATCAAATGCTCCAAATCGTTTTATATAATGCATACACTCAAATCCTGTGCACAGATATCGCCCTTACACACTCAACTACCGATTAAATGCAATCACAAACAAATAAAACACACCTCACCCCTGGATGCGTATGACGTCAGCGCCCGACTACTTGGTATACCATTAAGCAGGTGTGGATGTGGCACCTCGCATGTTAGCTTCATTGAACACTGATTTCGCGTTGCCATGATGGTCCTAGTGTCTCGTTGGTTATAAGGAGTCGAGGATGTCCTTGAAGACGTTCCTTAGCTTCTCCAGGTCCGTGACTCGAGCTCGGAGTGCCTGGTTTTCTTTCAGGAGCCTGGTAAGGTTTTCCTCCTGAAGGTGCCTCTGTCCCCTCTGGGCCTCGCGGTACCTGCGGGAGGCCGCGTTGTTCTGCTCGCGAATGACACGGTACTTGGCCGAGTCGGTGGGTTTGAGCAGGGTGCCCTTCTGCCTGCCGGGGTCCGCGGCCCTCGGGCTGGCCAGCGGGTCCAGGGGCG